CATAAAAATCAAACATGTTTCTGTCTAAACCTATTCAGCTCACAATTTTGTCACATGCATTATATCCAGTTATCATGAAGTCATACTGTCATACAACACTGAGAGGAGGAGAAAAAAGCAGCCAAAGTCACATCAGCACCAAGGTCAGCTCCAGCTCGTCACAGACGACTGAACGTGGTTTTAATAACATTTAAACACTACCTGCAGACTGTTGTTAAGGTTTTCCAGAACGGTGATGCAGCAGTGCATTATGGGTACAATGACAGACAGGCTACACTCCTGAGCAGGAGGTTGTTTGGGTGCAATCTTAGAGAAGAGCCGAGGTTTGCCTCCTCCAGATTTTCCTGTTTTGATTTCTGTTCATTTTTGGGTTTTGACCAGTCGTTTAACAGGAGGAAAGATAAATATTTAACAATAACTGGAGAGGCCAACAGGGGTCATCAGTGTGTAATGGTGGTGCAGAACAGTGCCACCTACTGACCTGCCCTATCAGTAGAACCAGCACTGGCCCTGAGGCTGAGGAGGGCGGTTTTGAACTTTCAACCACAGTGAAAGTCATTTTCTCCAGTTTTTTTTTTAGGATCAAATGCCCAGAGAAGAAAAGCATCAAACTGTGACAGGAGATTTGAAGGTTCAGTGTCAGTTCCTGTTTTTTTTTTTTTTGGTAAAAAACAGAAACTCCTCTTATGAGGAACTTGTTGTGTTTCTGGCCTGAGGAGCTGAGCTGAGAGTGAGAAAGAACAAAATGAAGATGGAGAACAACGGCCTCGCTGCACAACGTCAATGCTGTTTAGTAAGAGGCTGTTTTGTTTTGGTCTCCGTCACTAATGTCTCCAGAGAGAGGACACTTGAGTCTACCGCTCAAGTCTATATAGACAGATATATTTATATAGCAATATACAGGAATGTATTGAGTCTACCGCTCAAGTCTATATAGATATATATTTATCTATATAGACAGATATATTTAAATAGCCATATACAGGAATGTCAAAATTACAAGGCCCCTCTTTAGTGGTCCATGAACTGGAGGTCTATAAACCCAGAACCTGATCCGTATTTCCTGATAAACAGACAGTGAAACCGATGTTTTTTAATTCATAAATGCAACAGTTCTGAGTCTTTTAAATAAAACGGTGTTTTTTTTTTTCTCCGGCAGTGAATTTATTTAAATGTGATGCTTTTAAAAGAAAACCATTTTGCTCCTTTAATTCGAACATTTTTATTTCATTTCTCTGCTGACAGATGACAGAAACAAATTGTTTTGTTGTTTTCTGCGTGGATGTGTTGATATTTTCAATTAGGAGGAAATATATTTCAGTCATTCAACGCAGCTGCCGGATCAGAAGATATTTTATCATACAAATCTCTTCCCTCAAGCCATTAGCACAAATAATGTGTTCTGCAGCATTCCCCCTTAAATCTGCATAATTTAGGCATCATCATGTCGAGTGACTGTGGTGGGCTGCAGCCCAGTGAAGGGCTGTTTCCTCCACGTCGCCCCCGGAGCCGCTTTACTGCGGGTGTTTGAGGATAAAGAGACTTTTTAAAAGCTGTCATGACGATTCGGTGCAGTTTTGATCACAGACTGAACATCACGGCTGCTGTAGGCTGGACCAAGAAGACTCTTTATTGCTTTTCTCGGATTTCTAAAATGCCATTTCTGAGACTGGTTGAAAAAAAAAGAATGCCTCTGTGGCTGCACAGGTGCTTCAGCATCACGTGTCGAAAAGTTTGAAATAGTCTCTTCTTGTTCTTGTCATTTGTTCTTCTTTTTTTTCTTCTTCTTCCATTAAATGTTGGCGAGAAAAAAGGTTTTCATAAATCTTTAATCAGCAGCACTCCCAGTGTTGTAATATAATTGAGAGCTGCTGGTTTAAATCTCTACCTAAAACCCTGTATAAAATCATCCACTCAGAGTGTACAGAGAGTACACAGTACACAGTGTACTCGGGTGTACTGCAGTATACTGCAGCCTGTTGTTCCCAGCGTCCTTTTCAGATCTCCTGCCGTCAAACGTGTGTCAGAACTAAACTGAGAGAAGCAGAAGAAGAGAGGCTGCAGCCGCGTCCTCACCCCGGGGGCAGTAGTGAGCAGCGAACGCCGCGCTGCATCTCAATTAATCAATTAACGAGTCGGTTCCACAGGCGGCCGTACAACTGATACCGACTCCTGTTGAATTATTCAGCGGTTTAAATCAGATGTGCTCTGTCAAATATTCACCCAGTCACAGCACACCACCGTGTTTATTAGCAGTTAGCGACGTAAAACTGTTAGCGGCTCGTCTCCATCCAATCATTTCAGTGTGTAGTCACATGGTTGTTGGAGGACGACAGCTCCACCTTGTCCAGGTCTCTGCTCCGTCTCTCTGGTCGCTGTGATGGTTGTTCAGTTCAGTAACCTGGACGTTGTTGTTGTAGTTGTTGTTGTTGTTGTTGTTGTTGTAGCTCCAGCATGATGTTACTGCTGTGGAACCTCATTGTTCTGCCCAGCACAGTTTGAAGGGATAATTGGACCAGTCCAGCTATGAACTCTGGGAACGCGTAGCTTCTCTGAAGCATGGAGCGCAGGATGCAGCAGCAGTAGTAACAGCAGCAGCAGTTACAGCAGCAGCAGTAACAGCAGTAACAGCAGTAACAGCAGTAACAGCAGTAACAGCAGTAACAGCAGCAGCAGCAGTAGTAACAGCAGCAGCAGTTACAGCAGCAGCAGCAGTAACAGCAGTAACAGCAGCAGCAGTTACAGCAGCAGCAGCAGTAACAGCAGTAACAGCAGTAACAGCAGTAACAGTAACAGTAGCAGCATCATCTGGCCTCTGCTTCATCCTCGTCCTCCTTCGTCCATAAACTTTAAAAACCCAGAGAAAGGACAGTGTTTCACTGTGAGGCGACAAAACTGTCAGCTGGCTGTAAAAGATGACAAGTGACAGTTCATTATTGATCTGAGTCAGGTGGATTTAGGGTGATGATGTTATTGAGCCGCAGGAGGAGAAAGAGGAGGAGGAGGAGGAGGGAGAGGGAATGTTCCAGTGTTAACCTGATGTTCAGATGGAACAGAGTCTGAGACTGTGATGTCACCAGATCGTCCAGTTGTCAATGGAATGTTGACATCGTAGAAGTTAACCTGATTACTGATAAATCTGTTTATGTTTTAATCAAACACACACTGAGAGACTGAGAGTGGTAATGAGTTCCAGAGCTGACAGAACAGTGAGGTCACAGATCCAGTCCTGACGCTGACGCTGACGCCGACGCCTCTGCAGCACAAGAGAACAGTTAGTGTCAGGTTATCTGTGTGTGAGAACCCTGTGATGATGTAGACCAGTGGTGTTGACGGACTAATCGAAGCCGAGCTCTGGTGTCGGGCTGGACGTGTGTGTGATTCACAGTAATTGGCCGTTGTCTCGGCCGCGGTCCATTAACGGCTGCAGGCGGCGCTGGTTCAAACCCAGTGAATATTTACTGAGCTGACGTTCACAAATCAGTGTGTGTGTTCTGTCTGGTATTTAATTATACAGCACCGACCGCCGAGTTCCACAAAACAAATCAATCCTATTCTGACCCCCCCTCTCCCCCTCCTCACCTCCTCACCGTTTGCTGTGTTGTTTTTTTTTTTACAGTTTTGCAAAACAAGTAAAAAGGTTGAGGAAAATCCAAGAGTCAAATTCCTTCAGTCGTTTCTTCCACACTGGTCCAGTACCAGAGAGACCAGTTAAACCAGCTCCTAATGACTGACCTTTACATACCATGATTCAATAACACGGGGTCCTGTAGACCATAAAGCGGGGTGGGGGGTGTGGGGGGGGGGGCGACGTGATCACAGCCTTCAATTACTCAGAGTTACAGCCTCCGTTCATCAAGCTCGACGTTATTACAGCGCTCGCTGCTCATTTAGTTCGCCGTCATTACAGATGATGACACGTTAAGTGTTGTAGGCCGTAATGAAGGTCAGTCATCAGAGCGGTCTCAGCGGGGAAAGAAAGACAATTTCCTGGAAGGACCCACGAAGGAGTCGTTCACGACGACACGGAACAGCTTTCGTTAAAGTCTGTCAAACGGAGAGAGCGAGTGTTCTGATGTTGAAGAGAGTTCAGTTCACTGAACATTTCAGTTGGTGATGGGATTTTACACAGTTCTGATTTGGTCAGAATTTGTCAAAAAAAAAAAAAAAGAACTTCATCATAATTTTTCTGACCAAAGACGACGTGCTAAAATAGGAATTGGCTGAAAAATTCTGAAGAAGTTTTTTTTTTTATCCTCAAATTACTCTAATTTAATGAGAAACGTGCAGAGAAGAGACAATTTGAATCAAAATGAAAAATAGTATTCCATCGTATCGTGAGTCGACACTTTCCCGCTGCCTTCATTCACATCAGTGCGTCTCTGTGTGATGTGATTAAAGCCAAACAACGCTCCGTCTTAACCAAATCCTTTCAGAAGTTCAGGGGATAAAGCGTAGAATCTGCAGAGATCGGGTTCAGAGTTAAAGACTCCGTCTGGCCTCTGGAATCCTGCGATAATTCAGACCTGATCGACTTTTATCTCACGTTTACTTTAAACAATTGCTCAATTTTTCTCTCTCAGGCGGCGTAATCCACCCCGTATCTTCACCAGGGTTTTCCTAAAGAGCTCCACTTCGTGTCTCTGACCCACTCGACCCTGGAGAAGAGTCTGGACGTTTCCATCAGTTGCTTTTATGATTCATGATTTGCCGTAGATTTGAGAGAACGAGGCAGAGAGGCGACGTTTTCGATTCAACCGAGGGACTCCAGCGCGGTGCGGCCTAATGATAAGAGCCCACTTCTCTCAGCCCACTCCATCAGTCCCATCAGGGTGAAAGCTCTTTCGTTCTTCAAAGCGTTTGGTTTCATTTTCCTCATGAAACCCACAACAGGGGCGCAGGTCCGATGACGACCGAGGAGATAAAACAGCAGAGATTAAACTGAGTCATGAATGAACCGTGATGATGTTTAACTTTTCTCCTCTCTGATTGGTCAACAGACGTGTGTGACAGCCCGCTGGTGTCCAACCTGCCGCCGTCGTCCTTCAGGAGCTCGTCCCAGCTGTCCGGCAGCCACGCTCCAGGGTTCGCCAAACTGAACAGGAGAGAAGGTAAGGAGACGCAGGTCTGTCTGTGTGGTCTGTCGTCCTGATGGGTTCGTCTGGTGGTGACCAATGAATACCTGCAAATGTTTAGGAAAAGTTGCCAGATTCTGGCCAAAAATCAGCAAAAAAAAAAGAGTTAAAGGTGACTGAAGTTTGGCTTCAAAATTTAAAATTTAAAATTTTCTGATACAAAACTGTATTAGAATTAGTTTCTGAAAAAAAAGAAACACCTTTCTGATAAACAGGTACAAAACTGTATTAGAATTAGTTTCTGGAAAAAAAAGAAACACCTTTCTTTCTGTTTAATGGATTTAAACTGATGTTTTAAAAAACTGTCCTCAGCAAACAAATGAAAAACAACAGTTGATAAAACTGCTCTAAAACCATTTAAAGTACACAACGTTCCCAAAGGGAGAAAAGAATTCATTTTCTTCTTCTTCATTAATGTGTTTGACAAATGTTGGTCCTGGGAGTGACAGTAGGATTTGATGATATGATTTTAATGACAGCAGCAGCAGCAGCAGCAGCAGCAGCAGAGCTCAGAGCAGAAGAAGTCGAAACCTGAATGAATGGTTCAGACGTTCACAGTAAAACCTCAGGTGACTAGTTAAAAAAAAAAGAATCAGAAAACCATCTGAACATCATCAAGTGGCGGTCTGCTCCCGTCTTTACTCTCCGTGGATGTGGTTTGTTCTGAAGGCGGGGGTCAGGGAGGGGGACGCCGACTGTCCACACAACTGCACATCGGGGAGAACCGTTCTGGATTTCTGATCTGAGGCTTTGAAAATAACACAAATCATGTTTGCAACAAGCTCAGCTGCTTTATCCCAACGT